ATGTTAATCTTGGGTTCCTTTCCACATAAGGCTAGAAATTTATCTTTAAATATGTTTGAAAAATAATCTGAGAATTGTATAGGAATTTCACTGAATTTATAGAGTGCTTTGGGTAATGTTGTTAGTTTTCCTATAGTAGGTCTTCCTATCCTTGAACATTTATCATTCTGTTTGTGTAACTCTGTTTTGGTGTCTTGTAGATTGGCTCTCTCTTCTTTTGATTTTTAAAAAATACATTGGACTTTTATTTGAATGCTCATGTAATTCCTAAAACAAACCCATAATATAGGAGTCATTAGTTTTTCAACAAACTTTTTAATAAATCTTTTTGAACAAAGTGCCAAATTATTATTAAAATATAATCCTTAATCAACTCGAAGAAATATCAAATGTGAGACTATGCAAATTATTATGGTAGCAATATATATTGAATATGTTAAGAGCTTCTGGAAGAATGAATATGTCAGTCTATTAGCAAGTACAGCCTAGATGATCCTTAGAAACCAGCATAATGAAACTTGACATGTTTGCTTAGGTCATACCATTCCCACAACCTTCCCCCCTCCGCCCAAAAAAAACCCCAACAAAACCTCATTGCTATTGAGTCCATGCTAACTTATAAAGTCCCTATAGGCCAGGGTAGAGCAGTGCCTCTGTGTTTTCAAGACCATAATTCATTATGGAAATAGGAAGTACCTTCTTTCTCCTGAGGAGACATGGAAAGTTTACAATTGCTGACCTTGCATTTAGTAGCCCAAAGCATTAACACTACACCACCAGGACTCCTAATGCTCTTGTCATTAGCCAGAAAAAATTGCTGTAAAAGGGCATTATGTGTTGCAAAAAAGAGGTTTAACAACAGAAAAAGGAGGCCCTTAATAAGATGGACTGATATAATAGTTGGAAACAGAGCTCACACATAGAAATGATTGAGCAGATGACACAGGAATGGGCAAGGTTGCTTTGTCTTCTGTTTTAGATTGGTCTTTTAGATTTGGGCTACCTTGACAGCACCTATAGCAAGGATAAGGTAACAAACACTGGGAATTCATTGAAAAAAGTATAAATGATTATTTACAAAGATGGGGAATAATATTTCTGGCACAATGTATAATGAAGGATTTATCTTGGAGGAAATTAAGTCAGATTAGAATGGAATAAACTTCGTTTGTCATGGGTTGCAAAGAAATAATTGCACTTGGTCACAGGCAGAGGGGAGAATCCAGTATATGATCAACATTAGCACTCAAAAAGTTAATTTCACCTCATTTCAATCATTACATCCTGTGTGTGTGTGAATTGTGTTACAGTTAGGTGAGAAACATCTGCCATTAACATTCAGAAAAGAAAGCATCAATGATAACTCATGAGGTGCTAGTCTAGGCATCCAAGGTCTTTATCATACCATTTTATTTATATCTGATTTTGACCAAGAATGAGACTTTACATGTAACCTATATATGGACCACAAGCACTCAATATAATTTAAATCTGGGGTTATCTCTCACACACTATTATTAAGCAGAGCTACTACAGTATCAATCACAAATAAGCCACTGAGCAGACTCTTTAAGACCAAATAATGGATTTTAATTCCCTGAGTCACACACACACATCATATAATTGAAATCAGAGGTTCTCTCACTGACATACTATCCAGGAGAACTACTGCATTACCAATTACTCATAAGATATTGATAACAAAGTCCTTTCACATGCACTGGGTAAGGACTCTCTCTCTCTTTTTATTTCTTACCACTTTAGGGCAGCTTGCCTAAGTAAGGTGGCCCCAGGACTTCCATAGGCTTCTATCATGACATGGGAATTAAAAGTAAAACACTCTGTATTGGGTTAGATTCTGTGAAGGTAATTCTGACTCAATTAGACCAAATGTTGCAAGTGTTTTGATTTTAAGCAGATGTCATATTAAACAAATTAATAAAAAGTATATTGGGTTTGGCCCAGCTGGAAGGTCTATGCAGGATCCAGAGTCCTCCAGAATCCAGAAGCCCTCCTTAAAGTTACACAAACAATGTTCAACTTGGATATAATAAAGGTCTTGTGTTAGTCTGGGTCAGCTAGAGAAACAAATTCAGATACACTCATTTGTGTGCAATAGAGAACTTTATATCAAAGAGTAATTGTATATTAAGAGAACATCCCAGCCCAGTCAAGATCAAGTCTGTAAGTCCAATATTAGCCCATATGTCCGATACCAGTCTTTAAATTCCTCTTCAGACTCACTCAACACATGCAATGATGCCAAATGCAGGAAAACCACAGGTCAGTGGGTGGTAAGTCTTGTGGGTCCAATTGTGGTGGAAGAATTTCTGCACTGGTATGGATCTCCACGTGGCTCCTCCAGCTCCAGGGCTCTGGTGCCATCAGGATAGCTCTATGTGGCTTGTCAGCAGGAACACAAAGCAAATAGAGAGTGGGTGTCCTGTCTCCAAGAATGAAGAAAGAAATTCCCAGAATCCTCAGTAGAAGGCCATGCCCACACAGAGGCATGATTGGCTATGACCTGATTGAGTCCACACTCCACCCCTATAACCTATTTAACAAGTTGTCATGAAAGTATGTAACTACCACAGGTGTCCAGCAGAAACTGACAAGAGGACCCTTTGTATCTTTGCCCCAGGGTCCTCAGGTTGCAGGCCCACAAAGACTTGCACCCTAATACACATGAATTTCTTGACCTAATATGTTTTAATGATAACAAAATTATTGAATTTCAATAACTTACCTCATATCAAAAAAAAAAAAAAATATATATATATATATATATATATGTAGTGTTCACCAGAGCAGAGTTGAATGGCAAAATAAAGAACTAAAGGTTATGAAAGAATAACTGACTTGTTCAGTAGAAAGGAACCAAATATTTGAAGGTTTAGGATTGCTAGACTCTGGTAGATGAAAAGAACCAAGTGGAAATGGTGATACCAAAATTTTGGGATGAATGAGACCAAACCAATTGAAAACAAAATAAAACCAGGATCTTAGAGGAGGATTCAAGACGCCTGAATATTCATTGTTGGACCGGAAAAGTTTGACCCCAATTATCTACTATTGGACAATGCTACTGCTACATGGCCACATATAGATTCAGCCTTTGGCCAAGAAAGTAAAACACACTTCAGACTTGGTAGGAAAGTGAAATATACATGGCTGATTTCTTGGTGACCCCTTGACTCAGATACACATGACCAAGTGTGTTTTAATACCAGAAATGGATTTGACATGATATAAGGAACTGTGGTTTCTAGGAATAGAGGCCACGTCTTTTACATGCAATATGAGAAATAATGTTACTTTCTGAAAAAAACAAACAAAAAACTCTTCTGTGTCCTGGTTTTAGATCAGGTTGACAGTGATGTCACTAGCACTTTGGATTTCTTCTACTTAATATTGCTGTAGACAACTTCATCACTTGAATATGAATGGGATTCTCTATGCAGTGATTCACCTACCTAATGCGCTCTGCTGGTACCACTGACAGCATCAGTCTTGGTTGCTCCGGAAAGGACTACCTGTTATTTCAGCACAAACTGCAGCGAAATATTACTGATGGGATCACTGAATTCAAAATTACCTTTAAAATATTTTGACTCATACCATATGACAGCCATATCCCTCTAAAGGACTTACAAAGATATTTTATTGAAAATGTTGGGAAATAGTGAGTAAAACATTTCAAAATTCTTATATATCTATGAGGTAGTAAACTACTATTTCAATACAACAGAAAATAATTCATAACAATTACGTGGTGTGTAAAGAAATCATTAGCTAAGAAAATAGAGTACAAATTAAAAACCTAGTACACTACTAAGAGTGATAGAGCTTTTTCATAATTCCTTAGACTTCTCTGCATGGTGGATCTTATACATAGAGAAGTTTCAGGATTTACCAAACCTGTCACCACATTCCTTAAATTAATAAGTCTTCATTCCACTGTGAGTTCTGATCAGTTTAATTAGCTGTGAGGAGTGACTAAATTATTTCTCACAGTCATTACATTCATAAGGTCTCTGCAGTGTGAGTTCTCATATGTCGAGTGAGGTTGGAGGATCGATTAAATGCTTTTCCACATTCCTCACATTCATAAGGTCTCTCTCCACTGTGAATTCTCATATGTTCATTGAAGATTGAGGATCGAGTAAATGCTTTTCCACATTCCTCACATTCATAAGGTCTCTCTCCACTGTGAATTCTCATATGTTGAGTGAGGTTTGACAATTGAATAAATGCTTTTCCACATTCCTCACAATCATAAGGTCTTTCTCCACTGTGAAGTCTCCTATGTCGATTGAGATTTGCGGACTGATTAAATGCTTTTCCACATTCCTCACATTCATAAGGTCTCCCTCCACTGTGAATTCTCAGATGTTTCTTGAGTATTGGGGTGCAAGTAAACGCTTTTCCACATTCCTCACATGCATAAGGTCTCTCTCCACTGTGAAGTCTCATATGCAGAGTGAGGTTTGAGGACTGATTAAACGCTTTTCCACATTCCTCACATTCATAAGGTCTCTCTCCACTGTGAATTCTCATATGTTCATTGAAGTTTGAAGATCGAGTAAATGCTTTTCCACATTCCCCACATTCATAAGGTTTCTCTCTAGTGTGAATTCTCATATGTCGATTGAGATTTGAGGATCGATTAAATGCTTTTCCACATTCCTCACATTCATAAGGTCTCTCACCACTGTGAATTCTCATATGTTTCTTGAGTATTGAGGCAAGAGTAAATGCTTTTCCACATTCCTCACATTCATAATGCCTCTCTCTGCTGTGAATTCTCATACGCAGGGTGAGTTGTAAGGATCCAATAAAGGTTCTCTTACATTCCTTACATTCATAAGACTTAGCTTCATTGGAGATTCCCAAATCATCTGTGAGTCTTGAAGGCTCTCTTACAATTTCTTTATATTCATAGAATTTGTATCTTGTTAGAAATTCTACTGGCATGTGCATATAATTTTTTCCACATTTCCTAAATTTGTCAGCATTGAATGGAGTGTGAAATTGTTTATTATGGTCTAGTGAAGAAAGACTCTTGTACTGAAAATATTCCATGGGATATAAATATCCTGGTCTTCGTAATGGAGGAAGAATTGAAATTTGACTGGAGATCCCATCAATCGTATTTTCCTCGTATCTTCTCCAGGAAGTCATTGGCAAATATCTTCTATTAATAAAAAGTTATTATTACTTTTAATTTTCTATATTTTCATCTTTACAATAAACAGTAAATACACACACACTCTCAATTGTCTAACAAATCATAAGATTAAAAATCTGAGTGTAATACAACCATAATTGTCAATGAGTTAGTAAAATATGATTAATGATATAACAGCATATAAGAGAAATGCTTCCAATATTGAAAATATAACTCACATAGGTTAAAAACATATAGTGGTAGTAAGATTAACACATATAATTACAGATACACAAACACCAATATATAGATATACAACAAAATATTTGTACTATTAAAGTAAATGTTGACAGTTTGAATTAATTGATTGGCACTTTTGAGCCATAATTGGATTAATCAAATTAACTTAAAATATTTATTGAAATATGTATAAATATTATTTATTACACATGTTTATATATTACATTGAAATATAAATATCGATATAAATATCCACTGCGAATGATTCCTTATATTCATAATGAGCCTTCAAGAGGGAATGGAAATGCTATTTTTATAAGAAAATAGTGTCATATTTCTCATTTGCTGTGGCTGATATGTTAGAACCACTGTCCTAATATTTAGTAACCAAATGCTTAATACATTTCCATAACATACAAACCTCCGTTTACATTCATTTACAAACACAAGAATGGGGCATCAATATTTTTGTGGAATATTCCATTTTTTTCCGGTACTATATGTCTCAAAATTCCCTTTAATTGGCTCAAATCTGACTTGTATTGACCCTATACGATCTTGTAGAAATGCCCCTGTAGTTTTCTGAGATTACAACTCTTTAAAAGTGGAGAAGGCATCCTCTTTCTCTCATGAAATGGCTGGTGGTTTAGAACTGAATACCTTGTGCATAGTATGGCAATAAGTAATCACCACAGCAAGTGAATTTGGTGCTGGGCTACTAAGTTATAGTGCTGTTAAAACAAATAAAGCTATTCTCCAGGAATAAGATGAGATTATCTACTTCCCATAGAGATTAATATCCTCAAACTCCTATGCAGTATTTCACTCTGCACTACATTGTACACTATGATTTCAACTGGATGAAGACCAATGGGTTAATATGGGCAGATGGTGTGTTGAAGTATACAAATTGTTGTTGTATATATCATATAAAATGGATATTTATATACGTATAAATATATATCAACCTCTTTCTCGCTCTCCTTTTCATCTTTAGTGTTATATCTGTCTTGATTCCACTACTTTTTAAATTTAATCTTCTATTTATGAGCCATATATGTTAGTTTTCCAGTTAGTCTTCAAGAATGAATTTACTTGTCAATTGCTGTTTAAACATTGTAAAAACATTGAATGAACAGAATGTAGAAAAATATTTGTCTCACAGCTTACTCTTGCCTATGCTTAATGCTCGCTCTCTCACTCTCTCTCTCCGACAGAGAGTGAGAGAGAGATGCTGTTATACGATAAGACAATTTTGGCTCATATCGACTTACCAATAATAAGAAGGAAATTATCAAAGTATTTCTTCCCCATAATCTCTGGATGGTTCAGAAATGCCACATTTTGTGTTATTATAAATGTGCTTAATCATCTGTATCACATATACTTAAAATGCCAAAATACTTGCCTCAGCGTCTTTATATATATGGCATAATATTCCCATTAAACGCTATCCTGGAGCATTGCTCACTCTCAAGTAAATTACACTCACCTCAAAAGTGGGGTTTGGTTGTTATCCCGCTTTTCATGGCCATGAAATTCACAGAGGTTTTGTAAGATGGAGGCACTTGTAACATTTCTCATGAATCTTCCCATTACATCTTCAGTGGGTAGATGTTCTTAGTCATCGACGTTTGAGAAGCAGAACCAATTGTGTATGTTGAAGTTCACAATATGAAATGAAAATGAAAAGTAAAGCATTAAGCACAGACAAGAGTAATCTGTGAGAGAAGACATACTTTTCCATGTTTTGTTCAATCAATGTTTATGCAATGTTCAAACAGTGAATGACAAGTAATTCATTCTTGAAGATTAACAGGAAAACTAACATATACAGTATAGCTAATGATTAGAAGATCAAATTTAAAAGGCAGTGGGCTCAAGACAGATATAACACTAAAGATGAAAAGGAGATATTTTTCCCTTCATTAACATAGGTGATATTTTTATGCCTCAAAGTATCAAACAAACAAGGATAGGCATTTGTGCAGAATATTTTTCTTAATCAAATGAAATTGTTCTGATTTATCGAGTGCAAATTCTTCAATGAAGAGCTGGTCAATACTTTATTAACATAACAGGCCTGGGTGAATGTTCTGTATAAACATGCTGCCCAGGCAGCAAAAGAAAGCCCAGTGAACGTTTCCTAAAAGTGATACAATACATTGATTTTCCAGATCTCTGCAAATAGGTATGTGTGAATTATTTGCAAAAGAATCTTTTTTTTTTCCCCTCAAAAGTTTGATCAACACAGAAAAGCACTGGCAGCATAGGTGTTACACATTATGCCATTAATGACAACATCAGTAATTTGATACCAACAATTCTGTTCTGTGGAAGAAAAAGGATGCTCTGAAAATCTTTTAACCATAGGTGTTCTTCTTCTGGTGCTTTATAAGCTAATACTCCATTATGAGTCATATATTTGTAAGAGGCTTATGTTGCGGAAGTGGAACACCTTTTCCGTACTACTAGTTTACTCAGTTTGCAAGTTCCACAGGCACATGTTCACCAAGAGTATGACTGCTAGTAATTGAAATACATGTAGGGGAACTTCCAGAATTGCAACATGCAAGTTTTGACAGTGTGATAAACTTAGCTGAATAATGGCAGAATGCAATATGTAGAGATTTGAAACAATGAGAAACCCAGGATGTAACTGGTCTAAAAAGCAAATTAGCTTAATTGTTTTATTTCACCAAGTATTACTATCATTAGCTCAGTTACTGGGGTGACAACTGTGTGCATTTAGCAAATAATGAATTAATTTTTAAAAATGAAGATATTCATACCTACTATAGCTAGGTTTGAGATGGTCTCCACCATCACGTCTCTGAAGAGTTGCTTCTGAGAAACATCCAGCAGTGTCCATTCTTCTGGGGTGAAATCCACAGACACATCTTCTACAGTCACTGAGACCTAAAATATCCCACAAATTACATATTATAATAAAATAGAATTTAATTGCTATTTAAATAATTGCTATAAATTATATTATTAAAGTATTATTTTAATTTGGTGCATCTAAGGATTAATAATTACAAATTGTGTGAAATAAAAGATTAGGTTCATAGTCCTGAGGAACCTTCATTTCATGGGGCGTGGTTTTATGTTCTATAAAGTCTGTCTTAGGGTTTTACCATTATTCTCATTCCCTTGTCATCTGGATTAACTTCTCCTAAGATTTTATCTCATAGACTTGGCAATATAAGAACCCTTCAAAATTTTTGTAAAAAACACCATTACCTGTATTTACATTTTCTATTAACTTTGAGACGTCTCAAGTTTATAACATAGGAAGCTAATGAGTTCCCAATTAGACTGTCTAATTCATGCCTACACCCAAACTTAAGAATTAATAATATTCAGGAACTCTCTAATATAAACACCGTATATTCAACATCACCTCTTCTGTTTGTGTGTTTTATGGGAGGAGTTGGCAACACCTTTCATAGAAACAAATAAAAAATATTTTTAAATACTTAAGGGAATGCTGAAATATTAACAATTAAGAAAATACTGTAGGATACCAGGAGGGAAGGGGGGTGTAGAAAGGGGGAATTGATCACAGAGAGCTACATATAACCTCCTCTCTGGGGGATGGGCAACAGAGGGGTAGGTGAAGGGAGACGCCGGGCAGTGTAATATAAGATATAATAATAATT